ATCTTTTGCAGAATGAAAGTACCAATGTTGCCTTATATTACAATATATGAAAAAGTTAATTGGTAATAAAACTCAGAGCATTTTAAAAATGAACTGCCACATAAAATTACTGTAGTGCATGAAAGCCTCAATCAGAACTTGTCTGTGCTGTGTGTAGAATCAGTCTCTGCCTCTCATATGAATAGATGTAATCTCAGCAACCAGACACAATAAATACAAGATGAAGGGAATGGCAAGCATAGCAGCAACACAGAAATAATTCCAGAGGCTAGGAATCACAACATGAAAATTATTTCATTATTTCAACTCGTTAATTATTCATGCAGCAGAGATACAGGAAATGGCAGGAGAAAGCTAATGAAAGAGCAAGCAATTGAGAAACACTGATGAAGAGGTTTAGAAGGGTATAGAAGAAAAGTTATGAAAAACAGCGGATAAGAAAAGAAAGAGGTTTAGGGTAAGGTTTCACATTCAATAGTAGGGCCAACGTAAGGCATTCCTTCTGCTTCTCCACTGCTCATTATTCCTGGTCTAGCATTGTGGTGTACTGCTTCCTACTTACTAACAGTCACAATCATTTATGAAACTGTACTATGAGTCATCCAAGGCTGAAAAATAACCTGATTAAAAAAAAGGAAAAAAAAAAGAAGTTGACACAACTAAAAGGAAAACGCAGGAGTAGAAACGAGCAGCTGCAACGGAAAAATAGGTCACGCCAACATTTCTCCCAGCAAAAAGGTGCAACCATGGAATTAAAGACCAATGTCTATGTGCAGACCATATAAAAACACCTCTCAACTCTGCCTTGTAACTTGTCATGCTACATGCAGAGTGAAACAAGTTTGGATCACATCAGGTAACAAACAGTGAAAAGTTACACAGTAAAAGGTGGCCAAAACACTTGGTTAATATTGGGGAACACATTTTTCAGAGGAAGTGTACTTTCACTGAAGAATCCACTGATGCAGGACATTTCCAGTTGCTCTTAGCGACTTTTTTCTCCACTTCATCCTCCAAGCCAAATCTAGGATTCCATGCGCACGATGTACAGTCTATTGTTCAGGTGCATAACATATGAGAAGTCACAAAGTATGACACTATATTGCTTAAATGCATGAAATGGAGGAAGAATGAAGGATTATGAACTGGCTTATCAAACATGAGGAGCAGTACATTGTACACAGTAATACTTGGTGCTTCAGGTGGAGACAGTGTCCACCTTTCTGAGACTCAAACGGAGTCTTCTGTTATGTGCTCCATTCCCTCTTCATGCAATTTCATCATTAGGAGACATCTTTACCATCATCAGTTTCAATCATTTAAGGACAAAGGCCAAAACTAGATCTTTACATCTATTCAGACATTGCTACTAGATACTATTGATGTCATTTTTGGAGGAACTGAAGAAACTGCAGAACCAGTTACAAAGCAAAGGGAGAAAAATGAGTCAAAAATAGCAGGTTAGGCCAAAGTTTTCTTACTCATTTATGATATGTTTATGTCAATTCAGCTTGGAGGGTGGGGGGAGTGCAACGCAGGACAATTTAAAAGTGTTTGCAGTCATACTTGTTAAGTGGTTTTCATTATAAACCCTTATTCATAAAAAATACAGACTAAAAATTTTCACACTAAGTACATTTTACAAATTCTTTTTTACTACTATTACTACAACACAAGTTAAAAACTAGATGAGGCAATAAATCAAAATTTGTTCTCTGAAAGCTCAGCTTTAATTTGAGAAACATAATTTTGTAACATTTGGAATGAACACCCTAAGTGTATGATCCAAGGTACTACTTAACATCCACTTGATCTCACAGTGAACCTAAATTCAATCTCATTTGTATGAAATGTCCTGGTCATTTCACCAGTTACCCATTTCAAGTGCCCTTAAAAACAGCTTTTACCACTAGCATTTAAAATTGTTTCACATTCAAAGAAAATTATTAACTCCAACAATTGTATAAACCCATACAATAGCAGCTTTTCACTTGACCTGACTTGAACAATAAATATCACAAGTAACCTTCAGGTAAGAGATGTCACTTTTATTATTTCTGTTGTAAAAACTTTGAAATTAACAAAAATAAGACTACAGGGATAAAACTACAAAGAAAAAGGAATAAGCTCTTCTCTGCATTTGCTGGGGATCGTGAAAGATATAAATCACCACAAGAAAGATTTAATTCAGTATTAAAAAAGAACTCTCATGACAAGAGCAGTTAAGCACTATTAAGAAAAATTGACTAGTGAGATTGCATAATTTCTATCATTTGAGGCTTTTATGGATTTCAAAAGCCTAGTGGTACCATCTTTTCCTTTAAATCAGTTCTGACAAACTTCACTAAGCATATTTTATTCAAAGAGGTGGCAGGAAGCTATCCAGTTTGCTGCTTGTGTTAGTTTTCTGCTGTTCTAGTGAACTGAATCAGCAAACACCTGACAAGCATCAGAGATGGCATAGAGGAAGTAGTAACAACATCTGCCCAATGACAGGACTTTTAATCTTCAGCGATAATGAGTTATGTTAACTCACCTCATCTCATAAGACTATATCTTAAAAAACAGATTAAGCAAACAGATTAGACAAACATCTGCTAATAACACTGTAGGTACAATTTATCCTTCCTGGGGCTGAGAGGAGTAGACCAGAATTCTCGAGGTCATTCACTGCATACTTAAGTTTTAAAAGGCAACATAGAGCCCATTTTGAATCCATTTAGTGAAACTTTAACAAAACCAAAATTTCACTTAATATATACAGAGATAGATATTTGCCCACTTAGCACTGCCGAAATTAGATATGTCTAACGTAGCATGCATTTACCTCACACGTGTTTCCTATGTAAAATACTGTCTTGCTGAAAGGATAAGCCTAAAACATTTTATGACTCCATCATTTCAGTTTTAATCTCTTAAGTGGGAATTCAATTTTCAAGACCTTATATTTTTTAAGAAAACCTGCTAAATGTGTATAGCTGTAAAACGTTGGCTGTACATACCAACTTCTTGAGTACACATCTCCAGTTTTACTCCTATTGCCCAAAGCTAGCTGGAGCAGAAGACTGAAAACGACAGACTAGTACGGGTTCAGACCCCTCTGAACAGCAATGGAACTGGAATACTCTGAGTCTTACAGAAGACTTGCAAGGTGATGAAAAGTTCAGGAGTTACATAGAATCATTAATGTCACTGGTGATGCTTTAGTCCATCATTTACACCAGCCTGTGATTGGAGGACATTCACATCATATTGTCTGCAGAAGACTTCAGGGAAAGGAAAAAACACATAAAGCCAGCAAAACATAGCTGTATTCTAATCAGAAGTCAAAAAATAACAAAGGCTTTCTCACTTAAATATCCTAATTCCTTTTTGTTAATGCATGAACCTAGTTCTTTGGTTTACACAAGCAAAACACTACTTGGTCAAGTACACATACGGTTTCCCTTTTTACAAGTTATTAAAGCACCTTTTCCTGTAACTCACTAATATACCTACAGCATATTGGTCAGAAAACAAGGAATCCATTGAGAAGCTTGAAAGATGGGGAAAAAAATACAACCTACTTTGAATGTCAATACCATATTTAATTTGATATACACTTCATGCGTCACCTGCTCTGGAGACCATACAGGAAGGAATACAATATATCACCTTGCCCGTTTTGACTATTCCTTTTCAGAAAACCATGAATGCTTCAAACAAGAGAGACTCTTCTCTTATTTGCACAGAACAAAATGTGCTACATTAGGCTGGACTTTCAAGACAATTTATAAATATGGGAAATTCACCATCACCAAGTACAACTCAGAACATGCACTACAAATGGAGAAGATCCTAACTGAGTTGCTACACGGAAAATTAATCTGTCATAAAAGCAAAGTTTTTGTTAATTATTACATTTATATTCAGGGAAGAAAGCATTGTCAACATACGTCCATCTTTGTTTGCCAGCTAATAATTATTTCCATATGCATTCCTGGTCATTAACACGGTATTTTGTTGATTCTTCCTGTCCAAATATATATGTGCCTAATACTCACACACACAGAGAGCTCCACTGCTACCAAACCAGGGACAAAGCCAAAAGTGACTGACAGGTCTGTAATTTCTACATATGCATATATGAAGAAGAGTAAGTCATGAAAAGAAAGTAGAATAATGTAATAAGAGACACCAAAAATGTACAGAAAAAAAATTATCATTACACGTGAAAAGAGCAAAGACAGCATCTTTGTGAGGACAACGTACTTCAGAACACTTAAGGAGACCTTTCAACCTCGATATAGGAAATCCTCAGAAGCCAAAATGGGCTGACTTCCCACCAAAACACATGCTTTCCACCATAATTTTCTCCAGAGACTTCCGCTAGAATATAATTTTATCACTGGGTGCTGGGAAACCATACTAACGCACATTCAGAATTTAGGACAGTGTTCACAAGAAAAACCTGCCTTTTGTCCTGATAGTTATAATGACCCTTTTCGTAGTATTTCCAACACGATCAGATGAAACTAAATACAGTGCAGTTCATATTGTGACTGATGTAACGTGGGCAGGAAACAATACCGTGGAAAAGAAAAAGCCAAGGATCTTTGTCTCCTTCTAGACGGATTGCCAAGTCTCAGTAGTTGGAGGGAGAAAAAGCACAGCATCCCAAATAAAACACTGCAGTGCATGTTCACCATTTCGGCAAAGTCGCTGCAGCTTTTGGCAATCCCGTAGGAAATCTGGACCCCTCAAAGAAAGCCCAAGCTAAAAAAAAAACAAACTAAAAAGACAGAAAACAGCCCTAGCTTAAAAATTACAGAAGAAACAAATAATCTACTAGCTGTGGAAATAAAGCCCAAGGAGTTCACCAATCGCATCACAACCGATACTACAGAGATAAGCTCTGCAATAACCAGCCATAAATCTATTAAATGCTGTATCTTCTCGCCGCCGCCGCCGGTGTTCGGGCGCAGGCGGGCAAGGGCTGCGGGCCCGGTGGTGGTGCCTACCTGAGAGAGCTGCCGGGGGTTGGGGCAGCCGAAGAGCGCGGAGCTGGAGCTGAAGCTGATGGCCCCTCTGCGGCTGAGGACGTGCTGCGGCACCGGCCTGTCCAGCGGCAGCACGGGCAGCTGGTAACATACTTCCATTGACGAAGCCTCGGTGCGCCGGCCCGCCGCGGGGCAGCGGCCTCGCCCGCCGCACCTGCCCGCGCAGGGCTCCCCGCAGCGGGGAAGGGCCGGCGGCGAAGCCCCGCGGGGGCCCGGCGCCTCCTCGCCGCCCCCGCGCCCCCC